GCTCTCACAGTAATACACACAAAAATAACTTCAGCAGAAACTCAAGATTAGAAACCTGTCCCATTCCTGAACACAGTAATGTGCAGAGATCATGGCACAAAGGTTTTTCACTGACTTTTTTTTATAGATTCTGCATTGAAGTGTTGTTTTCTGTGGACATGGCACTGCTGCATTGATAAGCATGATACTGTGTAACGTACAGGAACTCCCAGGTTTAGTTCACCCTGGTTCAGTTTCTGATTCAGTATACAGAAGAGTCATCTCATTGCATCTAATTTTGGATAGGTCCACAAGTGGATGAATAATAATAAAACCTTGAGCTGGGATTCACAATTTTGAAATTCTTTTGGGTTTCCAAAACTACCTGATGGATTTAGATCTCTTACTTTCGTGGATGGCTTCAATAATAGCCTTCCAAAGATAGAAAATGACCAATTCTAATGCAGTCTACTGTATGTGAGAGCAAAGAGTTAAAGCATTTTTTCTTTGGTTGATTGTTGATTTCAACTTTGTAGAGGTGTGTCACACTTAAATGCATTTTCAAGGTCTGCTTTAGTGTATGTAGCTCAGAGATGATGTGTTAAAACATTAACAGTAGGGAAATAATTATTACTTATGAATTAAGATTGAATGATTTTGACTTCAGGGAAAAAAATATGACCATAATAGAAAATTTGGTTCCAAATGCTGTGATATGACTATGGTCTCTGAGGTCATAGTGTGCCTTCCCAAAATAATTACTTTCATCTCTCATCTGGAGGGAAAAGTAATTGGTTTATGGTGCATGATCTACAGGGTTCTACCATGTATGCTATTTCATACTGTGAGTACTTAGCAAACCTACATGGCAACTTTGTGCTCAGCAGTGAAGATATCTCTGCACATCCATGCAAAATAGCACAATTATCTTAGGAGCAAACTGTCAGGTAAAGCAGGGGAGCTGCTATTATTTTTTTATGATAGAAAAGTACTTCTCTCTACCAGTACATTTCATTTTTCAATGAAGATTGGAAATTCCTCCTTGGAAACCATTGCTGACAGTAATCCTTTTAATTAAGCAGTATCCAGAATCACATAATTTCTGTGTTCTGCACCTCAAATCAGCTGAGCACTTATGTATTGCATTTCTTTCATAACACTTTCACTTTCTCGGCTGATGCTTCAAAAGAATTAATAAAAAAGGAACACTACCCTAAGGAAAGGTACAGATAACACTTTAAGGTCAGTTTTCAAGCCATAGCATGGAATTAACTTGACATCCATTGTGTCAGTGGAGGTCTGCATTTTGTCTGTACGCAGGATAAAGATGCATCCTGTTTTAATACTAGACTTTATTGCTGATTTTATTAGGATAATTTCAGTTTTTCAGAGGGGATGGCTCTTTCTCCAGTATTATTACTCGGTAGCTGATAGAGGGAGCTGTTATCAGAAAATGTCAAATGCCAATAATGCAGAGTCAATGTCCATTATATCTCTCACTTATTTCCAGTACAGGATAGAAGTAAACAAGTTTGGTGCCCCGTCAGGCAATGGTGAGATTGGCGTAACGAGAGAGAGGTTTTTCAATGAAGTGGAGCAGGCTGAAGTGATGCTTGGAAACCATGAGAAGTGTCATGTCTGATTAGTGTGGCTGTGCAAATAATGTAATGAGACTTTTGAGAATGAAACTGAATAGGAGTTGGATAAAAGATTAGCAATCAGCATGTCTGTCATCTACCAGAGGCCCAAGAGAGGGCTGCACAAGACACTCCTGTTGTCATATGCGTCAGAGTCAACGCAGGAGTCACGGACAATGCAGGGACGATCAGTGTGATCAGCGAATGCCAATTTATTACAAAGCTTTAACTCCTTATATACCAGTTCTTACAGGCACTTACAGTGATTTGGCATATTATGATTGGATACATGTGCACAGGCACAAGTGTGAGAACTTGACCTCAAAAGCTTGCCAACAGCCCACAGTTCTCATAACTCAGTGAATTACAGCTTCTTCTTATCTTGCTTGTTTAGGCTTTCTTGGGCCTCTCACGGCCTTGCTGTATCTTTCAGGATTATTCAGAGTTTATGTACCAATTATCCATTCTCCTGTGAGAACAGTGTCTCCACACATCAGCAATGTCCAGATATGGAAATACACACTGACATAAGATGGTGCAGAAATGCTGAAGAAGTCAGTTGTAGGGAGTAGCCAAGCAGCTGAAAAGTGGAAAGATGAAAATGGGGCAGGAGCCCATAGCACCTAGAAGTCCACTAGTACCTGAAACATCAGTAGTTACTGTCATGACAGAGCTCAGACGTGGACAGGAGCCTATAATGGTAAATTAAACCCCAAGACAACTTAGCCATTTAGGGGTTCAGCTCTATCAGTATGGAATACATAAAAGGTCCCTAATATCTGTATTTCACATTGGAACACACTGTTGGTGGCTTAGGAATCCAGCTGCCACTTTAATGCCAGCTTACACCATGGCTAGTATCCAGCTTTACTTCCACTGGTTTATGTGCAATCACTTGCCCAGATTACTATTTTCATCCCAGGTGCTAAAGACAAGAATTTGCCTCATCTCCTCCTTCCTCCCCTCCCTATTTCCATTATTGTTTTGAGGTGCTATTAAAAAAAAATAGAGGGAAAGTTCCACTTTCAGAGTTACGGCTTTAGGCTGTCTGCAACATTGGGAAGTAATAAACTTATTTATGTACAAGATCACTTTTTTTTTTTTTTTTTTTTAAGGTTGCCAGCACAGACACGAGAGCTGGGAACTTGCTGTATCTCCTCAAAGAACAGTGTAATCCCATGACTCCACAAGCTGGGACTATATACACTTAACTTGTTGCGTGACCTGACTGTTGGAGTACAGGCATGGCTCAGGGTTCAAGTTTTCACAAACTGTCCTATAAGAATGCAAAATTAAAGAAAATAAGGGATGAAGGGTGAGTTTTGCACAGAGGTAACTCAGAGAGGCAAGTGTAAATTGCTGCTCTGTTAGAAATTTCAAAGTAACAAGGATGTCATCATTCATTCACTAGCCAAAGGAAATAACCAAAAGCTGACAAAAACCATCGTCCCATTGCTCTTCCAAGACTGTGAGTCAAAACTGATAGTAACTTATTTGGTGAGGGAGGGAATACCTTTATTAATATTAAAGAAATTACACTAACGCCTCTGTCAAAACTCACCAGATGGGGAATGACCAGACCTAGCTACAGTGATTAAAAGACCTCATTCATATCTAATGATTACACAGAGTAATAATCTCATTGTAAAAGGCAATCAGACACTTGTTCACTCTTCTTATCTTTTCTTCACATTTGTACTTAATAAGGAAGGATCTGTCTTTGATCACCTTTTCCTTTGCTGTCCTTTAAGTAATTCCATTACAGGGCCAGAGTTTCCTAGCCATTTATCATTTCACCAAATCAATTTTATCTTCAGTCTCTGTTGAGATGTTACAAACATTCCGTCAAATGTTTTTTGCCATTACAGTAGTCATAATGCTGTGCATGAAGATGCTTGGGTGTTGTTTTTTTTAAGAAACTGCTGAAACAGCTTTTCTTTTTTTTTTTTCTTCTTTTTTTTTAAGGTCTGAAAATCTTAATTGAATTTTTCATTTTAAAAAAAGAAAGAAAAATATTGATTGAATCTGATTTTGTCTGCATCTCCAAGAAGTCTTTATTTGTGCAACTTTTCAACCTGATTATTTCTCCTGAATTGCCTCCAGAGCCTGGGCTCAGCCCATCTGTTACTGCTGAGCTCTTTACTATCTCTACTTCATTTATATGTCTACCTCTTCTGCTTTTCAGATTCAAGCCTGACCTGTAGACTTTTTGAAAAAGCACAGTATTCCAATAAGTACCATGATATAATAGCTTTCTTCATGGGGAAGACTGACCCCTGTGTTGTCCCAGGGAAGCACAGCTGTTCTGTTCATAAAGGAAACTCACTCCTTCCATCAGTGGAGAGCTGAAGTTCAGCAGCTGAGCCTTCCTTCAGCATTCAGATTTACCTGGGAGATGGTATTACTGCCATTCTGATGATGAGGGTGGATTTCAATATTTAGCAGTGATAAATTTTGTCTGGTTTGCTCATTTGTTTGTTTTCTCCACACAGATGCAACTTTGCAGTTCAGTGGCAGAAGGGGATTGCTATTGGTCTTTCCCCATCCTATGCCAAGACTGCTTCCCTTGCAACCTAGCACATTTTCCAAGAGGTAAAACAAATTTAACACAAAACTGCATAGAGATCTCATACCTCTTTCAACCAAGCCATGTCCTCATCCAGCAGGTACAATTTATTCTACTTTTACAGTTATGGTATGGAAATGAAGAGACACTAAGCATTCACTAATTGTGCTGTGGCTCTTGGGTACCTAATAAAAGATATACGTGACCAGATTTTCACAGTGTTTTTCAGGCAGCTAATTCCCTTGCACATGGATTTGCAGTGCTGTTAATGTGTGAGTCATTAGGGCAACATCAGAGGCCTAATTGAGGATCTCCCAATGTTAATGCCAGAGCTGCTAGACTGTGACTGGTTTCAGCTAAGAGCTTTAGCCGAATTTTTCCTCAGCAGCTGAGGTCTAGGGAGAAACATATGCTGGGCTGCCCACCTTCCAGTTGAAGCTCCTGGAAATAAGAGATATTTCTTATCTCTCCAAATCAAGCACTTGCTGTGTAGTTTGGACAGGGTGAGTGAAGATGTCTTGGTCTAAGTTTGGAGATCATGGCAAATGATTTATGTTCCCAATGCGGTAGAATCACATGTGTTGCTGCTAGCATGCAGCCCTGGGACATTACTGTTTGCCCTGCCACTAGAAGCCTTCTTTGGTGAGCTTGTGCCCGAGAGGAACCCATACATCCATCATATTCAGTGTGAATTGACCCTGTTGAAAAGTGAGGCTGTCAGGTTTACTCAGGGTCAGTCTCGGCACTGTGCAAGCCACAACACTACATTCTAGTCATCTAATTAGATACCTTTATCAAATACAACCACAATTTGTAAATGTAATTACATTGCTTTGATTTTTACTGTTTTAATAGTAATTGACGTAAGTGACTCCTATCCAATTGACAGGTGTATAGAGGTCAAGCTTTATTCAATTAAAGCTGTTCAGTTCAATCAGCATTCAATTCTCTTCAGTGAAACCTTCCAGTAGGCTGGCCAGGAGCTGTGAGATGAAATTGTGATATTAACTGCCAGTCTTCTTGAAAGAGGCTTGAAACACCTGACTAGCAAGACAGAAGGCTGCAGAGAGCTGAAGAATCAAAACTTGTAAAAGCTCTTCTTAAATCCACAGTGATGTAGCTACCAAGCATCTCAGTAAAACAATAAATGTTATTTTACATAGATCCAAAAATACAAAGGATCCAAGGAAATGTTTTTCCCAACTGAGTGGGCATTTTCCAGGACTTGTTGGTTTTATTACCTCATCTGTACCTTTAGCTGTCAGCAAAGTAGTGCTGAAAGCTCCCTATTTAAAGCAGGTCATAGCAAACAGAAATTTACTGTCTAACCAAAGCTTGTATAAACTTACTGTGGGCAAAAGCTCAATAAAAGCTCATAAAAGTGGTACCTGTGGCTTCCAAATTAAAAACATTTTCTCTAATTAGCCTCTTTTTTCCCAATTTTTTCTTTTTCCTCCATTCTTAAAAAAAGTAAAAAAAAACAAACAAAAAAAAAAAAAAAAAAAAAAAAAAAAGCAGCAGCAATACTGTGAAGGCCATAAGATCCACATGTCCATGTGCTTATACTGAACAGAGACCTGACGTTAAAATTTTGCTAGAAGAGAAGTGCAAACTCCAAGCTCAACTGGAAGGGGAAACCAAGCATTCTAGAGTTGACTTCAGTGTGATTGTGAGAAACCTGATGCATTTGCCTGGCATTGATTTCAGTATGGTTATATTCCAAAAGAGTCTGTCCTCTCCTTGGAAGTTAATTCCCAGTATAATTGTTCTTTGTTTACAAGCCAGTTTCTGTTACCTCTTCCAACTAATAGAGCAAAACCTCATTTCATCTTTTCATCTGATAGAAGTCTTACTGAAAGCAGCCAGCACAGAACTTGTTTATAGCAGATGCTGTCCTTAGATTATCATTGTAAAGAGCAGGGGCAGGCAATTTGTTTGTTTATGTTAAGCCACTGCAAATAAAAGACTTCTTCTAGGACTCCTCTGTAGCAGAGGAGCTCTAAGCTAATCATTTTAGTAAGTAGCTTAAGAGGAGTGAATAGCTCTAGTAATTAGAAATGGTCTGCAAAGCAAAGAACATGCTGCCTGTGTGCCCTGTCCTGTTCTCAGTGTGTTATCTTGACTCTCAACAAGCCCAGTTCATCTAACCTAGCTTTAAGCTTTCTCTACAGCAAAGGGAGAGCTGTGTACAGAGAATGCAAGATGAAATCCTCATTTAACCAAAGTTAAATGCGGTTCAGATTTAAGAACTTCTCCTAGTTGGATGCATCTGGTCCCAGGAGCATCTCAACTCTCCCATTCTGTCAAAGGTTACCTGCTACAACTTCCCTTGGGAGCATGAAGGATAAGTTGGGCAGAAACCCACAGCCTGTGCCAAGCAGCAGAACTTTATTTTTGGCAAATTAACATGTCAAAACAGTTGTTCTGGAAGACAGCAATATCTAGGGATCAGAAAGCTAGTGGGTGGGGTAAGTAATTCTCTTTCCTGAAAGATGAACATCCAAAACCAAGGAGTTTGTAGTTTCTAAATGGGTAGTCCCATTTTCATACCCAAATTAAAGGGCCTAATAATAAGTGTTTCAGACCTAAACAGTGTCCTAAGTGCTGTACTGGGAATTAATTCTTAATTTCATTTACCTGGGCAGGAGGCATGGTTTTCTGGAGACAGTGCCTTAGACAGATCCTGCTCCTAGGTAAAGATTTGTTAGGGAAAGTTTCCCTTTGTCCATTTGGTTGGCAGATTTGTATATGCTGAAATGAAAAACTGCTTTGCACTGGGCATGCACTGTTGTTGGCCTCAAAAGAAAGGTGAACGTGGCTTATGGCACTCATGGGATGTATTTACACATCTGTTCTCAGTGGCAGCTTTGTTGTCTGAAAAGGTTACAGTCCTTCACCTACCCTCTTGCTCCCTACTGGGGCAGCCACTTCTGCTCCCTGCTGTGGATCACCCACCTCCAGATCTGTCAGCTGAAGCACTCACTCCCTGGCCTGTCTCAGACAAAGCTAATACTATAGTTAAGCACAGCTTGAAAAACCATGATTTGCTAATCATATTTCTCTTGGTTAAAGCAGGGCAGAGGATACAGTGATGTCCAGGAGGGAGATGGCATTGAACAGGATAAAACTGTGATCTCTGTGTACAGTATCTGCAGTCCAGTGAGGCTTCCCGAACACACACTCTTTCAACTTACATACATTTCTCTCTACAAAGCAGTGAAAAATCACCGTGATTCCAAAATAGTCCCATACCCTGACTTAATTGCAGGAGGGGAAAAAAAAGTCTAACTACCAGGAAAGGTAGCTGAATCACTCACAGCTTACAGCCTGCAGGGATGAGCATGGATAACCCGGGAGGCTCTGTCTGCTCCTAATACACATTGATCTACTCACTGCATGCTGAAAACCTTCAGGCTTTTATTCTGTACCACAAAGCAGTGCAATCATTTAAGTTGTACCAGATATTTACCCCCTCCCTGTCTCTCTTCAGAGACATGAATAGTGTTATAAATGCAAAGAAAATATCTGTGAAAACATGGTGTCTCACAATCAGTGAAACCCAAACTGAACTTAATAGAACAGGCCTGGAAAATCTTCAGTAACCAGTACGCCATACAGGTATCATACAGAGGCAACCTACATGTAATAGAATATCTTGAGTTGGCTTGTTTGTTTTAGCAAAAAAAGTTATCATCAAATTACTTGGAAATGTTTACACTGAAGATGATTTTTCTCTCTATTTATTTGTTGTTTGCAAAATATGGTCATCTTTTCTCTTAATGTAGAGAACCTGATATGTACCTGCCGCCAAAGCTAATGATGCTGACTAAAAACTATTCAGTGAAGCTGTTTACAAGACAATAAACAATCAAAATTGCTGGAGAAATTCAGGACTGTTAAGCTACAGAAATGATTGATCAGCTAGGATTTAAGTAGTTGTTAAGCCTAATTTAAATACAGGAAGAATATCACATTTCATCAGCTTCCATCTTCAAATTTAAGAGCTTCTCAAGTCCTCATTTATACTTAAAATGTCACTGGCACATATATTAAAGCTGACAAAATCAATTTACCGCAGCAAGATATTCATCTCCTTATCTTCCCCAATCATGTTAATTTTCCTTCAGCATTCTTTGTTTATAAAAAACAAACAAACAAGCACTTTCTGTTCATTAGTCTGAAGTTCTTACATAATCATTTATGTGCACTTATGAGCATTAATGGCATTCCGTTCAATTGCACTTTAAAGTCCCCAACATAACTCAGCTTTGGACACTGCTCCTCTGTATCTCACTAAAAAGTCCCTGTAAAACAACCTGCCCTCCATAAATAACCTAATAGGATGCTCAGAGTATTCTGAAATATGCAGTCATCCAAAGTTTAAATAATAATTAAAATTTAAAAAATAAATGTGAGCTTTGTCTGAGGCTCCTGGGCATTACTGTTCAAGGCAAGTCATACATCCTTTCCCACCCTTCCTTAGCCATGAGTAGAAACTCTGGGGAAGATGGCTCGCATATTTTCCAGCATTCTCATTCTAATCCTGATCTTTTCCCTAAGGAAAAAGGATCTCCCTCCACTTGTGTCTGCTAAAGAGAGACAGCAGACTTTACCTCATGGTTTAATTCTTTGGTATCTGACAAGGAGCATGCTCCAAAGAAAGCTTAACACTGGTCTTCTTCCTGTGGCCCAGGGTTTCTTGAAACCAGTATCCTAAAGGCATCTGCCACCTCCCTCAAATGTGTCTGAAACTGGCCAGTTCAGGCAGATGTTCCTGGGGAAATACAGGAAAGATTCAGACATAGAAAGCAATTTCAAACCAGCCTTATACCCTCAATGAACAGGCTATATATATAAAAAAAAAAAAAAGGTCTGTTTTCAGAGTCCTTCTCTTTAGGGAAATATTTTTTTTTACATACACAAGCATATCTTCATGATCCTCATGCAGCCATTTACTCTTCAGAGAGCCTGTCAGAGAGACCAGACCAGCCATCCCAGCAGGTGTCCTAAGAAAAGCAAAGAAACCTTTAAAATAGTGTAATTTCATCACTAAGTCTTTCCCCCTCCACTGCAACAGCTGAAATGCTGGGCTGTGTCCCTTACTACTGTTAAATAGCTGCCCTCTGTTGATTTTAACTTGCTGTCATCTGCTTCAGTCTAGTCTTATTTTCAGTGCTGCTAAGAACACAGTCTGGTAAAAAGCTTTGGAAATTCCCTGTGGTAACACAGCACTTTTCCATTCAGCTAACATATCCACAGGTATAAATTCCAAAGTTTCTGCACCAACACTCATGAGCACTCCACAGCTGTCCCTGGCATCCCAGTGCCGCCTCAATACCTTTTCAGGAGACTGCTCACTTCCCTTCTGCCTGTACCCCTACTTTTGCCCAGACTCACCTGGCTAGTGCAGGAACCCCTGTTCATCAATTCTGAGTTTTTCTTTGGCTTTTCCTCCTCCAGGAAAGAGGGGCAGTTGTGAAGATAGCAATCAGATGGACTTGAAAATAGGTCATCTTAAAATTTTTCACCTTCAAAGATGTGTAAAGTAGGTTAAGCCTATTTATGCATAGATGAAAGCATATAGGGGACCAGTGGGCATCTGTACCTTCCATACATCATACCATGCATTACTTTGAGCATAGACCTAGTTCTAAAGCCTTACATTTCATCCTGTGTCCTATTAACCATGCCCATCAATCCCTATAGCTCAGAACACTAGTGCATTCCTATCTTTTTCTATCACCTCTCAGCTGTGGCTCCTCCATCATAGACTATGGCTCTCCAAAACATTCACTCCTGTCTCAAGCATAATTCTGCCCCTTCCCCTTACTTCACAAGCCTTGCAAGGACCTCTCAGTCACACATTTAGTCTGATGGCAGTGTACAGGTATGTGCAGGCTCCATGCTTCATAATTCCATGCTGATGAGCTGCTTTGGCCTTCTGGATGTTTCCCAAGCAAGTGAGAGAACACAAAGGATACAGTTTGCTTGCAAAACTGGTACTAGTACAGGGCAGTACATTTCATTCACAAGGGGAAAAAAAAACCTAAACAAAACCAACCAAAAACACTCCACAAAAAAAAAAAAAAAAAGGATCTTTTTCCCCCTTTTTGTTGATATCAATTCTCTGCTTCTCCCTTCTGCATTTATTCAGGGCTTTTCCTGCTGTCTCAGAAACTGAAGCTCATTATGTTCGGTAGACCTAACTACATGTGTAAAGATAAGCACCAACAGAGCTGCTCATACAATCAGCACCCTGAAGAGATGAGATCATTTCACACATGGTGTTTGCTTCCTGTTATACTCAGGAATTTACAGTGGCTGCTGGCCACTATAAATACTGAACTGACAAGAGGTGTTCCTCATATTTTACTGCAATAACCACTGCCGTGTTTTTGTCCTAAAAGTAATTTGATTTGTTGTATTGACTTCAGTGGGTTTTCATTCCTAATTAACTGTTCTTATGATGGAATGATGCAATTCTTGTTCACAAACTGGAGCTGAAAAATTAAATTCAGAACAGTTCTGCTGAAGAAAACCTCAAACTCCAAAACATACATTTTTCCAGTCAGTCCCAGCAACTAAATCAGGGCACAATCTTTCCTTATCTAGAATGAACAATATTATGGAAGATCTTTTTCCTTTACTTTTAAACAGAGAAGCTGAACTGAGCTAAACCACTGGTAAGCTTTCTTCAAATTACAGCCTCCATGTTATTATCCATTTTTCCACTTCTATGCAGATATCCAGGTGAGGAGAAAATAGTTGTCTTTATCTGAAGTACAAATGGAGTTGCAAGGAAGAAGTAGTAATATAAACAAACTATTCAAGCCATGAATAATAAGCAGCATAAAGGATGCTTTCCTGTTGGCAAAATAATGTTTCTGATCTTGGTTTTCAGAATGTGGCATACCAGAGGAGGAGGCACACAGTAAGTAAATGTGGACACACTTGTTCTGTTTTGGACCTGAAAAAATGCTGCTTAATTAAATAAGAGGGAACCATTTCATCTCTAGTGAGTGGCTGTCCCTCCCTCTCTTGTGGTCTTTCTTATTTCTTTTTGTCCCTCCGATTCCTTAATAACATGACCATGCTGGCGTTAGCAATATTCCCAGCATGTCCAATGGAAATACTAAGGAGATCTATATGTTGCTATTAGGATTAATTGGCAACATTGCCCCTGATGGACAAGTTATTATCTTCTTAAGGTTTAGTTGTCTCAGTCTGAATACTTATCTTTATCCAATTGGCAAAGTCAAGGTCCCATTCTATTGTTTTCTCCCACAGAGAGTGATTTGTTTGATAATACTGTTTCAAACACAATTTCTTCCTAAATTATCCTATCTATTTCATTATTTATTTTCTATTATCTTGAAACTCCAAAAGACTAACTAAAAACATTAGGTGCCAAATTCAGTGTAAGTTTAAAGCTCTGACATCTTTAAATCCCTTTGATGAGATTCTGTGATGTCCTTCTGTCTTTTCTATTAACTTGGAGTGGTATAGAGGTGATAAAAAAAATCTGGTCCGTATTTGTCTTCCAGATGTGTAAATACAAGTATCTGTATTTCATCTATACTATTTTTTTTTCTTTCATTACCAATGCACATTTTTCTTTAATTTGGTGAAGGCCATGCTTACTTCCTGTCCATGCCACAAAGACACAATCTGTATACATAGAGAATGTCATGATTAAACGAAAAATAAAATAGTCTGGAACAGGTACTAGCCAAAGATCCTCTTGGGGAATTAGTTACAGTTATATTGTCAGGACAGTCAGGTCTCTAATGCCGTGATACTGTTACAGCAATTCAAAGCTAAGCCACTTTATAAATATTAAATTCTTAAGCAAATGGAAATTCCTAGTATACTAGTTTTGAAACATTACTTCTACCTGTCACTTTGATCCTGAATGCACAGTCTGAATGGCAAAAGACTTTTCCAATATGAAGATGCCAGTGTCAGGATTTTCTTTGTAGCTCTGTATAAGAACAATTTTTGTTGCTCTGTTTTTCTTCAGGAAGATATGTAAAATGCTTTCCTCTGAGAAACATCTTCTGCTTACAGGAAGAGATCTGCAGCCCTGTTCTGTTGTTGCACGTCATAATTAACATCTAGCATGAAAGCGTTATCAAAAAAAGCAAGAAACATTTTCTTATTGTCCAAGAAGCTCCCATTTGAAGCCAACACTCTCTGTTGGCCAAAGCTCATTATCTGACAAGGCCAAAAAGAAAATCCGTTATGTCTGGCTAGCATAACAGCAAGAAGGCTGGAGTGTGCATCCTGCATGAGTGCACCCTTGGCCCTGTTCATTAGACTTTGCTTAAAATAAGCCATTGCACAACAGGCATAAAGATTGGCATATTGGCAGTTTGTGAGCTTTACAAAAAAAAACCTACAGCACCATCCCAAAAACAGAAAATGGAACAGTCCTGGGGAAATGTACTTTCAGCCTTCATATCCATAATTACTCATAAAGGGACCTCTGACTTCACTGACTAGTGCATGAGCACCTGCCTGCAGGCCAGCTCTTAAAACTGTATAGCACATGTGCATTTCTCTAACAGAACACCTGGGTGTAGATAGTTTCTTCCTGTCCATATATTCACCCTGAAGGGCTGAGTATATTTAACTGTGTTGTGCTGAGTGAAATTGTTTGTTGGTGTATTAAAAGCTGTGAAATAATGCCTTACAATTGCTTCTTCTAGGGGGTGAGAGCCCTCCTCATCTTGCAAATGACATCTTGCAGAGAGCCAAAGAGATCTGTGTGTTCAACATCTTGTAATAACTTGAAATCTTTGCTTCAAACTAGCAGCTTTCTCAAGAGCAGGGTCATTGTACTGAAACAGAAGAGAGCAAAGCTCCAAGCTATCCAGCAGAGTACAAGCAGATTAGAAAGAAATTAAATTAATCAATATGGTGCCTTCTTGGTCAAAAGTTCACTGAGAGAGAATGGAGCTGTATGATGCACCCATCTCCTTTTAATTGGCTTGGACCTGGTTCCTACCACGCTCAAGCAGATGTGGTGTCAATAGAAGTCATGCAAAGGCAGAAACTTTTAATTATTTTAAAACATCTTGCTTCATCTTGAGGAGCTGTGGTTAGGACTTGTCAGGGAGAGAGATAAAAAGAAAAAAAAAAGAAAAAGAGAGAATGGGCTAATATTTGCTAGAATGAATTTCTGAATTTGCTTCTAAAACTTTTGTGTACAGTGTTTATTAATGCAAAAGGTTAGCTGTGCAACATCACATAAGAAATAAAAATGCTGTAAACATTTTTGTAACCATGGGGTTTTGTGGCAGAAGCATTATGGATTACATGGGATTTATTTACATCCTTTTCTTAGCTCAAAAAATTACATGTCTAGAGAAGGAAGAAAAGAGGCACTGTACAACTTACTATAAACCATGAAACAGCTAGCTGTGTATTGGATATTTGAACCATTAGTTATAAGGCAGAAGTTGAACTGGAATACCTTCACATATATATGACAACAGTTAGTTCTTGAGCAGTCATAATCTCTCCTAAATAACTGATGAACAAAGAAAGAGCAGCTGAGAGAGTTAAACCTGTTTCTCACAATGAGTAGAGGCTGTGATGGATAACATTGCTTAGGATCATTTTCATTACACTGAATCTTCAAAAAAACATCAGCTTTTTTGGGGAAGAGGAGAGGGACATGCACTTTTGCTCGGATGCAATTCTGTTCTCTGACCCTTTGCTCCCCACCTGAAAAGGGCTGAGCGTGGCTAGCAACTTAGGGCAGTTACTATTACTTAGGGCAAAGAGGTATTAATAGGCTGAGTCTTGCATGGCAGAGAAAGTCCAGGAGGCAGAAAAGGACTTTGTGGTTTTTTTTGTGACCAAAAAGTAACAAAAAGTTGCTAGGCAGAAAGGAAACCCTCTGCAACACCCTATACATGGCAGGAATATTTGTATAAACCTTGTTTATTGAATTTTAAAATGTTACAGTTGGAGCTCCATGTCTAACAAAGCCTAAATGCTGAGAGTAAAAGCCCTGTGTTGTGTCTGGTATCAGCGCTTTTAAAGTTATAGGGCAGCAAATCAAATCTTAGAGATGATTCTGCCATGGGACTGAACACAGCTCATGATATAATAATGAGCATCTTTAGGTATTAGCATGAATCAAAATGTGCCTCAAGTGCATAATTAAAAAAACAACTTTCACTCTACCATTCTATTAAAAGTGCTTCCTATCACTGATTTGACATTTCTCTCAGATATTTTACCAACCCAGTTGTGAAATTAAGCCATAACTGATTCTCTTTTGTAAAACCCAGCTCCAAATCCTACACTGTCCGAATATCTATAACCGATAGGCTGTAAAGAGTGTTTACCGTTGGCATAACTCAATTCCCACTGGTGTTAACAGGGAACTTTACCATTGTGTCCAAAAAGAGGGCAATGAAACTAGTGAACTTTGACAAATACCATCTTTCCTTTGTTTTCAGTCTTATGAAGCAAGAGAGAGAGAGCAGAGGAAATATTTATTGCTAATCAAATATTGATTTATTACAATACAAATTCTGGCCAGTTATAACTATTTGCCTACTGTGTTTTTTCAGAGCTCTTATTGGTACCTATGCCTGCTGGGATTTAGATTAGTACATCAAAGTGTTTGCCAGCATCAGTATTTCTTCATAGCACTAACAGGATCAGTTCAACACACTTCAGTACACATGTGTAGAGCTCCTGAAAATCATCCTAGCAAAACATTTATTGAAAAAAAAAAACAAAAAACAAACAAACAAACAAAACCTCCACCCAAAACAAAAACAAAAACCCAACAACAACAACAAAAAAACCCCACCAAGTTTGTGCAGGAATGGGGAATACAGATTCAAACAAATCCCCTGATAGATAGAGCCTAAGTAACTTTACAAAATTAATGAACACTTGCTGAAAAGTCAGTAGACTTTTTCTTATGACAAATACCCTCTTTTCAAAACTCAGAAGTTATCTGTAATGTTTTGCTTTTTGGTAGAATGATTTAGACCTGTATCCCACAGCTAAGTCTCAATTCTGTGAACGTCCATACAGACATTTTTAGGCAACATGGACAGTCCTTCTGCAGCCTGTGGACTATCTTGCCTATCCAGATTGTGTAGAAGATGCTCTTTCCTCCCTATGGGCTCACCATCCTGGCACCATATGAAGTTGCCAGCTGTGCTAATGCACCCAGATGGTTCTTAGATGATCTGGAGATACACCCATCAATTTCAAAGCCCAGGCTTGTAGCTCTCACATCTGTTCAGAACACAAGTGTCCTTTCAAAGATGACCTTGATAATAAGCTTCAACCTTGGCCAAGAGTATCCCTTGCCTAATGTGTTGAGTTCTAGGATGCCCTTAAACCTTGCAGAATTAGGGTGCTGCTTGCTAAAAAATATAACTATCCTGAAGGCTTAACTGCTTCATGCTATAAATAACTGGTTCCTTTTTTTTCCCTCTGTGACTGGTTTTTCATTTCCATAAGCTTCTCAGTTTAAAACAAACGCAGAGGAAAACAATGTGTTTGAAGGTGACAAACTGTACATAAGGGAAAGGCATGTGCAGTAGCGCAAGCTATTCCTGAAAGTCTGACAGACTCAAGCAATGCTTTTCTTAGTTTAATAATAAATAATCACAACAGTCAAAGCACACAGACTGCATTAACAAGCACAGGATGACATGGAAAAATGCTCAGGTTTTTGGCTGCTGAGAGTCACTTACACGAACTATTTGCCAGAACTGACAGCTAGAAAGAAGATGGGGA